TGGAAGTACTGTATGTAATGAACCAATTAAGTGACTATGCAATATAATCACAGTCAATTTGTTATTATCAAAGGGGTTTTGGAGGAATGATAATGGTGATAATGAAGAATGATAACAGGTGAATATCCTTAATTCTAATCACATAGCAGTTGAGTAAAATGAGTTAATAAAACAGAAAGGAGTTAAAAGTACCATTATGTGTGAGAAAGACAGATATTCAATAAGAAGACACAAGACAAAATCCAAAGAATATATTGAGAAGAGAGGATAAAGTTACAAGAGAAATTTTGATAAAGAAAAAGAGAAAAGATGAATAAAAATAAGAAACAAAGAAAGAGAACTAAAACTAAAAAATTAAAGGACAAAAGAAAAAAAATGAGCAACACAGCGTTTGTTTAAAATAAATAAATAAAAAAGACAAAAATATTGAAAAGAGTAGAGAACAAAGGATTCAAGATATATCGTTATTAGTTAGTGATTCTAATTCAAATAGAGATTTAGTTGAAACAACAAATATAAAGTTGATAGATCCATTTTTTGAAGCGTTATTTTCATTAGAGGTTTGTTATAAAGAAAAGAAAAGAAAGAAAAGATATAATCATATAGGAAAGTGAATATTGGCTAAAAGAACAAGCAGTTGTTTCATTAAATCGACTAATGAAAACACATCGAGTTGATAAGAATTCAGGAGTTATTAGAGAAAGTTCAATGTTTTATGCACATCTTGAAGGGTATATTGAAGAAATCAAAAATATCATTACAGAAACAAAAAAAAGTGATAAAAAAGAAGCACTTGCACAAAAATATATAATACAAATATGGAGTGAAGCAGTAGGATTGATGGTACATTCGCATCAATATAATATCATTAAAGCACTTTATGAAAAAGGAGTTTTAGAAGAAGTTATTAAAAAAATGACATTAGAAGAATACAAAGAATCAACAATATTAATTAAAGCAGGAACAAGAATAATTTTAGAGATAATTTCAATGGAATTAAAAGAAATTGTAATTGGAGTAATTAAGAAGAGTGGAATAATGGAATTTATTAAGAAAAAGATTGAAGAAAAGAATCAAGAATTTAAATCATTTTGTAATGAAATAATATTTAAAATGCAAGAAAATAAAGATAAAGAATATGAAAATCTTTTAGAAGAAGCAGGGTTAAATGGAGAAAATATAATTAAAGAGGCTAATGAATATCATGAAGAAATAAATAAAGTACTTATGGAAGCAAGTGAAACAACAGGAGAAATTGAAGATGAAATAGAAGATGAAGATTATGGATATGATGAAGATGAAGATGATGAAGATAACGAAGAAGATGAAGATGATATGACAGCACAAATGGAAGACTTTTTTGAAGAAATTAAAAACAAACCAGAAATGTTAGAAGAAATGGAAATTGATTCATCAATTCCAGATATGAAAGATGAACCATTAATGCCAAAAGATTTACCAGTATTTAGTAAAAAGTTTGAACATTTGTATGATGAAATTAATCGGCAAGATAATTTGTTTGTTTAAAAGAATAAATTTAATTAAATTCATTCTTTTTCTCAAAGGTTTGAAAGATAGTTTTAGAATAAAAAATAGAAGAAAAGACAATCATATTTAAAAGAAGTAATATAAAAATAAAGAAGAAATAATGAACAAAAGTAAAAATCAACAAGAACAATATGTAAATTGTAATGAAACACTTAAAGATGAAGAAATTGAAAAAGAAATTATTAAAGAAGAAGAAATAACAATAACAAATAGAGAAGACATTGAAGTATTTTCATTAGAAAAAGAAGAAAGAAATACTAAACGAATAAAAGAAATAGAAGAAATTAAAACAAAACTTAATCATAAAGATTTAGATGATATGATGAGGATATTGAGAAAAAAAGAAAGAGAAAGTCAAAATAAAGATATGTTTATTCCTTATATTCAAAATACAGACTTTGCAGGAATTTTATTAATGGAAGAAGCATCAGACCCAAGATATACATATTCACTTTCATCAGGAGTAGATGTTTGGAGAAGAAAAGTTAATGGAAGTACATGGAATGGAGTAGCACGAGCTATTATTCCTAATATTACACCTAAACAAATGAGCGAATTATATTGGGATTATACAAAAAGAAGAAAATGGGATAGTTTTTATACAGTAATTGAAGATCTTGAGATTTTAGGAAATGGAAATAGGGTAAGTAGAACAGCAACGTGGACGCCTAAAATGTTTAAACAAAGAGATTATGTACATGTTAGAGAAGTTATTGAAACAGAAAATTGTTGTATTGGGGTTTATCTTCCAGCAGAACATAAAGAAGCACCAATAGGAATACAAGGATTTATTCGAGGATATGTTAATTTTAGTGGGTTTGTATTTAGAAAACAAGGAAGAGATTGTTTATGTACATTAATGACTCAAACAGATATTTCAGTACCATTACCAGATTTTTTGATTAATAAATTTGTTGCACTTGGAATTAGACTATATGTAAGGTTAATGAAAAAAGCAGGACTAGTATATGGAAAAGTAGGAAGATAAACAAGTGTTTTTTGGCAGATACGAATTTGTTTTTTTCGATGAACAAGAAAAGCAAGATAACTATTTTAAGGAAAAAGTAAAAATAGAGAAGAGAAGAAAAAGAGGGGAATAATAAAGTATAGTAAGGAAATAATTAGATAAAGAGGGGAAAAAAGAAACTACAAAAGCTAAACGCAGTTCAAAAAATGACTAAGGTTGTTACTATGCGTATAAGATTCCCAAAAACTTATCCAGTTATTTATAAAACATTACGAGTTGATGGAGAACTAACAGTAAAAGCATCAATAGAATTTATTGCAGAAGCATTACATATGCCACCAGAAGATGGAATTGGATTATATTTACCATCAGCAAAAAAGTGGTTAGACAATGGTACAACACTAGCAACGTATCAAGAAGATATTGGAGAAGAAGTTTGTTTAATAGATTTTTGAAGAAAATGAAAGAATGTATATTAACGAGATAAGGATAATGTCGAATATAAATATTTGAATGGAAAAGACGAAGAAGAAGAAGAAGGTAATAAAAAAAAGAAAAGTGGAGGATGTGTTTTCCTTTAAATGTTGTGATTTTCGAATTAATATTTCAAAAAACTGGTTTTTTTTTTCTTTTTTTTTT